GATGTTCAGCTATGCGTTGACCCGTACAGCGTGGCAGCGTATGTTGTTTTGTACATGACCAAGGCAAACAAAGGCATGAGCCTTATGATGCGACGGGCTTTGACTAAAGCACGGCAAGAAAATGGCGGAATAAAAGCATTCTTGCGCTTTATTGGAAACGCGATGCTTAATTCTCAAGAGATAAGTGCGCAAGAAGCGTGCTATCTATTACTTGGTTTGAAGTATCGATTGTCATCCCGACAAGTTCATTTTGTGAACACCGCTCCGTGCGACGAACGACTGCTAACCCTGAAATCGATTAGAGAGTTAAAAGCACTAGAGTCGACTAGTACTGATGTTTATCCACCATACGCGTGTATGGAAGGTACAAACAGAGACCGGTGCTCTTGGAGTCCACTTGTTTGGCTGATTTTGTGTCAATGTACGAGATCACATCACGGCTTGAAGGTACGAGAAGTATGCATATGATTGGTCCTGACCTATCAGGTAAGAGAAAATTCTACTAAAAACGTAAGCGAGGCAAAATTATACGATTCGTTAACTATCATAAGAACCAAGACTTTGAAAATTACATACGCGAGAGGGCTTTACTTTACCACCCATCTCGAGAAGAGCCATGTGATTTTGGGCTTATTGCGACAATCTTCAAGGAAAATGAAGTGGCAATCATGGAGAAAGAAGCGATGTATACGAATGGTAGTGATTGTTGGGCAGACGCATCCAAAGCAGCCGAGACCAATTGTGATAACGAAGAATCAAATGTCTTTGAGACAACGAATAAGGCTGTAGAGAGCGTCGTTGAAAGTGTTGACATTGCAAATGAGTTGAATCTTGAAAAAAATGTACGACGAGCCAAGGATGTTTTTTCTTACGTTCTCATTAACGACTACGAATATATGCAACTTGAGAGGTCATTAAATCCCGAACAACGTGCGGTATGTGATCATATTGTACACCATATTCGGTTTCAAGGAAGTCCGTTACGGTTGTTCATAACTGGTGGAGCAGGTGTTGGCAAGTATGTGTTGATCAATGTTGTGACCGAACGGTTGTCTAGAATATTCAACTCATCCATAAGTTGCAACCCTACGTCAATTAAAGTGTTGAAAATGACGCCCACAGGGGTAGCAGCATTCAACATAGGTGGATACACGATACACAATGCACTTATGATACCGATTTCTCAAAATTGAACAATTTCTAACTTATCATCTGATCGATTAAACACGTTAAGGTCAAATTTTGGTGATGTCGAATTGGTCGTTGTCGATGAGATTTCGATGCTCGGTAAGCATACCTTTCATTGGTTAGATTGGCGATTAAGAGAGCAGTGTGGGGCGGCACATATACCCTTTGGGGGCTTGCACGTTATATTCGTTGGTGACTTCTTTCAATTGCCTCCTATTGCTGACAAATATCGCTTCGCTGAAAATAATCCTCACAGTGTCATCGGTAAGGATAACGTGTGGGAGTTGTTTAAAATGGTTGAACTTGTGACGATCATGCGCCAAAAGAATGAGCAAATATTTGCAGAACGTCTTAATTGTTTCCGAGAAGGAAAACATACGAAAGATGACCTCCTTTTTTTCACATCCATGAACAGTACTATCGACAATTCTGCATCCCTTCAACATTTGTTTTCTAGAAATGTCGACATTGATGCACATAATGCCAAAATGTTTGAGATATCGATCCAAGAGAAACATATCATACCAGCTCACGATCTTCCCTTGTTTGATAAATCTGCAACTCGATGTAAAGGGCCATCAAAATATGCCTCAAAGAATCCAAGGAAGACATCAGGTTTGTACAATTTTTTGCATTTGTATGTTGGTTGTCAAGTTCACGTTGTGTTGAACATTGATACGGTCGACGGTCTTGCAAACGGGACTCCTGGAGTCATAAAAAGCTTATCCCAAGAAGAAAACGGCGAGGTTTCTGTCATTTGGGTACACTTTGACAACGATCGCGTTGGTAAGAAAGCTCGACGCAATAGTGCTCCCTTGTTTTCCGAATGGCGTATCACCGATGAAAGATTGACTCCCATCGTGCGGATCGAGCGGCGATTCTCCATCAACCATAAGAACAACGAAGTTTCAAGAATGCAGTTCCCACTTCGAGTAAGTGCGGCTATTAGTATACATCGTAGTCAGGGATCAACATTTGTTTCGGGCGTTGTTCATTTTCGTCGCCAAGTTTTCCATCACATGGCATACGTTGCGTTGAGTAGATTTAAGTCGCATGAAATGCTCTTTTTGGAGGATTTCTGTGAACACAGCGTTCACATTCACAATGACATAATAAGAGAAATGATCCGTTTGCGTGATAATAAACTGAGTATGTCTCCGATTCCAGTAGAGGAAATCGCAACAGCTCGATGTGAGGGGAGGTTTTATCTCCATAACATACGCAAGTTTCGGCGTGATTGTGGTTTGATTAACGCAATTCTCGCAAAATATTTCGATTTTATTTTGTTGATTGAAACACATCTTTTGCCTCATAATTCTCATGGTTCCATGTTTGGAGACTGTTCGGTATTCAGGCAAGATTGGGATTCTGGTGGAATGCTTGTTGCATATAACGATACTCGTGTTTCCGTCTTCTCTAACGTGATAAGCGACAATGTTCATATTATTGTTTTGCATTATACTGCACTATCAAACACATATGTCGTATGTGCGTATCGTAATCCAGCATCATCTCATGCAAGTTTCATCGATTTGTTGCAACAAGTCGTTGCCACGATCCCAAGTGCCAAAATTATGATAATTGGCGATATCAATTTTGACGATTCCAAATCGATGCCGCTTCGATTGCTCAACTTTATTAAGTCTCTCTCTTTGTCTCAATGCGTTCAAGCTCCAACAACAATACGCAACACCTTGATTGATCATGTGTGGACCAATCGTTGTCATTTTGATGTTCATGTGCATGTTGGTGAGACATATTTTAGTGATCATTTTCCCGTATACGTGTTAATAAAGTAACTTATTTGTTGGCGTCGACTTGCAGGATCGATTTCATCTTCTCACGATTTTCCTGAGGTATGAACATACGCATGGTTCATTTGGTTTTCACGATCCTGTCAGTTTGAACAAACCATTGTAAGTGTTAAGTATCTAGAAAAGCGTGAATATTTCTAGTCATGTAACCATGTTGTTTGCCACGTTGTTATGATCCGGAGCAGTTTGTTTGCCATTTCTCCTAAATATTCTCCTCCATTTTGTGCATGCTCTCCTATGTGTTTTTAACCAATCTCACCAATAGTTTTCCCCCATCTATCTCGTACTCATCCAATCCCCCATGGCCTAACTCCCACCTTCCTATATTCTTTCCTGCCAATGCTGACCCCTACCCATAATTGTCGTTCAACATATTGTGCAATATTTTTGCCTTAGTTTCCCCATTCTTTCCACCCCATCCTATTCTTCCCATCCCATAAGTGGTCGTTTTCACACCCCTTCGTCAACAATTGTGCAATAATTGCTTTGAAATTTCTCCCCCTCCATTCCATCCCATAAGTGGTCGTTTCCACACCCCTTCGTCTGTTTTGCAATCGTAATCTCAATGCAGCAAAATATGTTCATCTTTTGTACTCCATCATTTCTTCATGTATCATTCAACTTTTGCCTGTTTAACCGCTTCAAAACTCATCCATTTTCTTTGCCCAAATCCAAGAAATAGCACTCTGCAAGTTTGAAGAGCTTGTTGCCATAATTGATCACAAGCCAGAGAACTTCATGATACAAGCGATGGTTGTCGGCGCTCGGCCTCACACTGATTACGATGCTCGTACTGGTTTCTATATGCCTGCAAATTTGCTTCTTTTGGATGCTGATGGAGCGATCATGGAGCTGATATTCCGGCTCGATAGAACCACATCCACCCCTTGGACCATAGAAAAGTGTTTTAGGATTTTGGATCCGTTCGTCTTAGGGACGACATACGACTTTGCAGGCATCACATGCGAACGTCCTAAGGACCCAAGGTGAGCTTTCGGTATCCAAGCAAGTTGTTCCATTGAACATCACATTAGCATCAACGTTTCGCGATTTGTTGTACGAGTAACCGATATATGTTGTCAAAACAATCAACATCATGCTTGTATGTGACCATTTTCTCCTTACCATGTTACACATATGCATACTAGGTACACTATCGGAAGTCTCAACGGAGAGTTCGTTTGGGACTATAATTTGTCGCGTGCACGTCCGACAGCTTTTGGAAACGTCATTCCTCTTAATACCTTCTCCCCCACCTTGCTTTCTGAGGTGTCTTCGGTGAACCAGAAGGTATGTACGAAAGATGTGCATTTCGTATGTGAATGTTGTACCGGTATGCTTATCAGTATATGCCCCTTCCTAAGACATCACAACTTTGGAGACTCTTTTATCCAATTCTTAAGTTTCATAACCTTTCAGGTCTTTTCGTTTCGCATGGATCTCCATATTCTCTACTTCCTTATATTCCCATACTTGCAGGTCTCAGCATTCCACATGGAACTTCAGATAGTCAAGGAGGAAAAAGTCGGCAGGTTGACAAAACTCATCTGTGTTGTTCGTGATCAAAGCTGTCGATTCGGGCTGACGGCGCTTGGGTCAACTGGCGACTGGATCTCTTTCATCATGAAAGGAGAGAAGCAGACACCCAGAACTGCTACATCGGAGACATCCATCATTTTGTGGATAACAGAGCTATACATGAGTGAATGTCAAATCATAACAACCCAAAGGTTTGTGGTTTAAAGAAAAAAAGGTATGCTATTCTCTCAAATCTCTTTCCTTTGATCATGTGTCTTATTTCATTTTAAACCGTTCAAATAGCAAATGGTATTTCTTTGTATGATTTCAGAATATTTGGTTCTCTTTAGGAAATTTCTTATAGCCTATTCAATACTCCATGTTCCATTTGACTTATGTCCGCAATCCTCTCAATATTAGTTCCTCCAATTCCCCTTTTCTTTATGCCTCAACCTTGACTCTTGTTGGAAATATCTCAAGGACTTAAGCGTTTCTGAAGTGTAGCACCACACTCGAGGAAGATCGTAACGAGTACGCGAGTCAACGGAGGTTACATGAAGGGGGTGGACAAAGAACACGAAAGGACTCGAAGGGTCGCAACCGGAGGTTGCGACTGACCGTTACAACAGCGCGGATGGTAACCGAAGCGACAATCGAGTCGCTGTGCGACTCGATAAACCGCTCCTACAACTGTATTCTACAACTGCTTTACTTTCCTATTTTCTATATATTGCTGTATGCTTGCTTTCTTAATCAATCACTTGTTCTCATATACCAGTACAAGGGTTCAACTGCCTCAACTTCCGCTGCACTACTCAAGTCTCATTCTACAACTGGGACTTAGTCTCTGGAAAGATCCTAAGGGCTTTTCTCAGCCCAACAACTCTTATCCCTAAACCTCGTCTTACATCCTCTAACATTTTTTCGTACACATATTTATGAAAATATATCTTTAGTAGCTGGTTTTGTTGTCATTTATTTCATCTTTACAGGACAATAGTTATCCAAGTGAAAGATGCAGAGATGGCTGACCGCATCAAGCTTGCAGATACTCCTTATGAACCGACATGCCAAAACGTCGGTCACGTCAAAGCGTAAGTGAGAGTTGGCAAATGATACTCATACGGCTACTTCCTGGTTGCATGCGTGATCGTTTATGCATATACTAGATGCTTTCATAGCGCAATGTGTATCATCAATCAATGATGATAATTTGGTTTATTTCCTTATCCCAATCCCATCTCCCATCCAAATCCAAAAGTCTGACAGCTGTGGAGGACTATGCTTGGGCAAAAAATGCTTCGGGAGGTTCGCACCATGCCCGACCGATTCTGTAACTGCACTTCACCCGACGGAAGCCCAACTGTATGTGGATTTCCTGTGGTTTTTGACTACACCGCCAAGAAGTACAAATGCAGCATGCAGCACTTCTCAACAACTTCCAGCAACAACCCCAAGATTGTGGTTGTCTTTGACACACATGGTACGTAGACAATTTCTTGGTATTACTACTTTGAAGTCACTTACACTTATCACTTATGGCATGGTGAGGCTGCTCTTCTTTGTGCAATACCATAAATTCCCCCCTATTATACATCATGTTGCATGCATGTACAGTATGTAGTGTTAGTATTAAGGACAGAGTCTAGGTGAACTTAGGAGCTAGAATTACTCAAAATATAAATCCGAAATTCTGGACAGAAAAGTCGTCTTCACAAGAAACAACGTCGACGAAAACCTAGCCGTTGGAATGTCGCGAAACTCGGATATGTTGTATCTCTTAATCTCAGCTACCGTTCCCAATTTAAATCATGTTGATTGATGAAGTATTCGCGACGCTATGGCTTTCGACGCATTAGGGGGTAAGCTGTAGGAGGAGAACTTAACTCAATCTCAAAAGTTCAATCAAAGTTCAAGAATCTCACAAGGAATTGGAGGAGCAAGGGAAATGTTGGGATAGAAAGAGAGGGACGAGAGGGAAGGTTCCAAGAGAGTCCCCAACCAAGGAAACCCCATAAGCACAAAGATTCCCCCCCTATAGGAACCCCAACTTTGACATTTGTCCCTTCCCAACCAATCCATCCAAGTAGGCCACCCTTGCCAACCTAGCTTGGTTGTTCCCAACCAATTTGCAGCTGTTACAGTTGAGTGACAAATTTCCCCAACCCCCAAAGGTCCCAACTCCATATAAAGTCACCCCACAACTTCACTTTGTAACCGCCGCAATTGTAACGCAAGCTCGTGAACTTTGAATCTTCATAGCTTTCGCGTTCTTGCTCCGATTGAAGCGATTCTTGTTGCGTCGGAAAGATCTTCTCAAAATCTATCCTCACAAATACCTGCTCAGACAGAAAAACACAAAACACATTCCCAAACTCCAGAACACACACCACACAAATTCTTTCACACACTGTCAAACCATACATGCGAATTGAAACAAGGGATGGGAGGCAGACAGAATGTGATAGCATATGATGACATCACACAACATGTAGTTGGCAAGGATTCTCGCACGGGGGTGCTCGTCACAGTGAGTGCCGAGGTGATCGAGACAATCTTTGGTAGCTCCGGTTTTAAGGACTACATGAATGCGAATGCAGACAAGAAGATGGAAATACTGGCTGCTCTGCACAAACATTGGCGAGCTGAGGTGAGATCCTATTGTTGTACACAAGGTGTGATGCTTTTTACTGTATCTGTTTAGAACACCTTCGTCCAAATTCATTTATAGATGAAGCTACATGTAATGCTTTTGCTCGAAATGCCTTATTGCTACTTCATTTTTTTATTTTATTCCCAACCAATATTATTGGTTTACGCTTCGATTGCACCATGGCACTATTGTAATGCATTTGTTTCTTATAACCTAATGCAGATGGGGGTAATGATAGCTGGGGAAGCAATCCAGAGGAAAATCACCTCAATTGAATGCGGGCCAGCGAACGTGAGCAGCTTTTTTGTTCAATTATATATTTGTGCTTTCTCAAATTGCAAACTCAAATCTATACCCATTAAGACCTGTAATTTAAAATTGTCTTTATGAACCCAGGTTGGAAATATGGCAACAAGGAATGCCAAGAACAAGCACATTGTGTCAAGCAATACACCAACTGAGCCTGGAACGCCTATGAAGCACAACAGCCGACGTGGCGTCTAAACCGGTAGATATACATACAACCTTTTCTTTTACTATATTCCTTCAATTTCCTTCTGGTGCCCTCCACCAGGCCTTTTGTCTCCCCTATTCCATGGCTTTGATTCCCCTTATGTACTTCACACTGATCGCAACTTTTCATGTGTAAACCATTAACTCGGAACGCTAGAGCCCATCTTCCTATCTCCACCAGTTTGTTCTTTACCTTTTCAATCAAGTCTCTTGCAAGACATTTCTCACAATTGACTAGTTTGTAGTGCATTTTGTCGTTGAATGTATGCCTAGCTGTAAGCGTGCAAACTGACAACGCACTAGCTGTTGGCGTACTATTTGGTAGCCCATTAGCTCATAGCCCAGTACTGTACAATCTACTAGTAATTTGCAGTTTCTAGTGCACTTGTGATGTGTCAACTTGGTGTTGGCGCTCTTGTTGCTATTCAAGTAGCTTTCACTAAGGTTCACAATTTCTTTGAACGTGTCCTTCGCCACTCTCACTTCATGCAGGCCTGCTTTTGTGCATCACCTAAGTTCCAGAGGGGCTAGCGAAAGATAAGCAAGGGCGGAGTGGAAGGAGGAGGGGGGGGGAGGGAGGTTGGTGGGGGGAGGGCGGGGAGAGGGAGGAGTGGGGGGGGACGAGGGGTGCGGATGGTAGGGATGGTACAAAGGAGCAGGAAAAAAGGGGGGGGGGGGAAGGAGGGAGTATCCTTTATCTTAGCCAAACTTCTCCATATTTGAGTTATTGTTGGTTGTTGTGTGAAACTGTAACATCGCATACACCCATGACGTGTGTGCCTCATCTTTGATTCCCTCCTCTTCTTTCCCCAGTTTATATTGAATGTGTCTGCATACATGGGTGTATGTTGGATTGCATGGTACTTGGGAATCGTTACGTAATAACCGTTATCGTTGTGTCGTGTTGTGCAACATTGGAGCATGCATGCCAAGCGTATCCATCTCTTCCCCACATATTCCCTGCAATCATCTCTCATGCCCTCATATTCAATCCTGCCCACATTCTGTGTCCTCATATCCGGTGACCTCATAACTCGTGCCCACATATCCCGTGCGGTCATATTCCGAGCCCCCATATCCCATGCCCTCATACCCCGTGCCCTCGTATCATGTAACTCCACTAATCGTGCCCCTAAAACTTGTGCCCTCAAATCGCGTGACTGCATATCATGTGCCCTCATTTTCCCAAGTCCCCACATGTTCTTTACCCCTGCGTTTTGTCGCGGAAGCATTCGTGTATCATTTTTCATTGCATTGATCGCATCATTATATACTTGCATGCTGTACGCGGTCGTTTGTACCCAATCGTTTTGTAATGCTGTATTAGTGCTGGAGTGATGCATAGATGCCAAGTGCACCGCGTGGGTGGCGGTTGTCATTGTCGGCTTGGAAAGCGTTGCTTCCAAAACGTACATGTCAACCCCACTTGCAGCACTGAAGCATTCGTGTATCATTTCATTGCATTGACTGCATCATTATATGCTTGCATGCCGTACGCGCTCGTTTTGTACTCAAGTGTTTCGTTATGCTGTACCAATGCTGGAGTGATGCATATATGCCAAGTGCACTGCATAGATGGCGGTTGTCGTTGTGGGTTTGGAAAGCGTTGCTTCCAAAACGTACATGTCAACCCCACTTGCAGCATGGAAGCATTCGTGCATTGCTTTATTGCATTTACATCATGATTGTTCGTGTGTATGCAGTTGATGGGTGCTTGGAAAGGTTGATGCACACCTCTTTGATTCTACCGCCGTATTCATTGACGATGGAACCATAGAAATTGTGCACAACCCACCTGAGCAACCATAGACTATTGCACATCGTCCTCATGTCCCATGCCTTCACATCCGCATACACTAAAATTGTATGCCCTCAGATCTCGTGCCTCATAACTTGCGCCCTCATATCTCATGCCCCTATCTTCCGTGCCCTCGTACTCGTGCCCTCATTTCTCGTGCTCTCATATCCCGTGCCCTCAAAACCCGTTTTCTTATATCGCGTGCCTTTACATACCGTGCCCTCACATCTGCGCATTCGTATTACGTGCCGTCATAATATCCAATACCCAGTATCCCGTACCCCCATATCATGTGCCCTCATGTCTCGTGCCCTCCGTTCGCTCGTGTTTCGTGCCCTCATATTTCGTGCTCTCATACTGCGTGCACTTATTGCGTTACGTGCCTTCATGGCCTCTTTTCCTCGTATCCCATGCCCCATTGCGTTCGCTCGCGTTCCGTGCCCTCGTGCCCTGAGACTAGATGTTGCCAGTATTTTGTGCCCTGATATCCTATGCCCCTGTATCCAATGCCACGTAACCCGTATCCCTCGTATCCCTTGCGCACACATTCTGAGCTTGTACCCTAAACCCTAAACCTCATATTTTGTCTCGTGCCCTCGTATCCCGTGCACTCACATTCCGCGGCCCTATATCTTGTGCCCTTTAAATCCATCTGCCCCCA